TCAAGTGTTCTGGGATTCCCATTCTTCTCAGAGTTAGCCATATTTTGTTATGATCTACACAGTCAAATGCCTTTGCATAGTCAATGAAACACAGATAGACAAAAACCAAAAAACCTCATTGTTGTCAAACTGGAATCAACTCAGAGTTGACCCTCCAGCACCTTTCAGGAGGCGGTAAATCACACACAAGATTGCCTGTTTTTCTCCTTTGTAGCTGTGAGTGGAATTGACAGCCAGAGAGTGCTTTCTTGGGCTTAGCAGCACAGCTCTCTTGGGACTGCACTACTGAGCTCACTAACAACCTATGTTCCGTGTATTAATGCATGTTTAGTATTCAGCAGTTTCTCCAGGCCTTTTATGGTAGAGGGAGGGAGGCTTTCCCTTAAAATAACATAGGTAATCCTTCTCTTTATCGATTCCATGAGTATTTCCTTATTTCTTTGAATTCATAATATTTTATTCTTTCTGATGCCTGCCAGCTACATAAATAGAAAGCTCTTTTGTTTAAGCAAGTTGTTGCCCTAAAGAAAATAAGAAAAGCAAAAAATGAACTTTCTGAAATAAGATATGTCTTTGAAAAAAGACTTGATTTTGCTTAACAGTTTTCCCAACTGATGGTGCAATGTTAAAAATTCATGGGCAACCTTTCTTTCAAGTGAATGAAGTTTATTTCTAAATTATAGGGTTTTTAAAAAAGTAAATTACAGTTCTTTTATATGTGTGCTATATGACACACATGTGTAAGTAAGTATACACACACACACACACACACACACACACACACACACACACATTGGAAGCTCTGGTGTCTTAGTGGCAAGGAGTTAATGCTGCCAATGCAAAGGCACACAGTTTAAATCCACCAGGTCCTCCAAAAGAAAAAGATGGACCGTCTCTTCCTGTGTGATTTATTGCCCCTGAATACCCTCTGGAGAGTCAGCTTTGAGCCAGTTCTGATTTGACAGTACATGACAATATGTACACACACACACACACACACACACACACATTTAGATGACAAACTTTAGCCCTGAAAACCAAGTATAACATTTTCAGATCCTTAGAAGAAAGACTCCATTAAGAACAGAAACAACAGCTGAATTCAACAAATCAAGGGCTCTTAGTGCTATTTGCCCTCATGTAGTAAATATTTTGCAAATTGTGAGGAAGGGATTAAGTTTTTATTCCATAGCTTTAGAAGCTTTGGAAAGTAGGTTTTATATGTTTATTTGTGTACAAATTTGAACAGATTAGAAAATGCTTTTGTTTTTAAAGCTTATTTTTATTTTTTCATCCCCCTAAACTTCTGCACTTTAGAAAAGTGGGTTAACTTTACTATGTAGTGAATTGTCTATTAAAAAGCTAGAATAGAAAAAGAAAATGGTGACCTTGATAGTGATTGTTGTTTTAATCTGTTTCAAAGCAGGATATACCCTGATGAAGAAAGTGTGGTAAATGTAAATGGTTTTGTTTTTTAAAAGATGTTGTTATATGACATAGAATATGACTTATAGAAACCCTGTGAATGACAGCTCTGAACCCTGTCTTAACATGTGCAGATCCTCACAATCTCTGACACAAGAAAGCCCATTTCTGCAGGCATTATATCAGTCCATCTTGTGTGTGGAGGGGGAATCTTCTTGTCTTTGGCTAACCCTCCATCTTTCCAGCATGACATTCTTTTTCAATGAGCAACCTCTTCTAGCAACATGCCAAAGTTTAAGAGATGACACTTCACCATCTTTGCCTTGAAGAAGCACTCTGGCTGCACTTTTCCCAAAACTCACCTATTTGTTCTTTTGACAGTCCATGGGATAATCAGTACTGTTCTCTAGCATCAACTCTTCTTTATTCATCCTTAATCATTATCTGGCTCTCAGATGCATAGCAAGTGATCGAAAAAATGATGGTCTGAATTAGGCACACCTTAGTCTTCAAACTGCCATCACCATTCCCCAATAATTTGGAGAGGTCCCTTACTATGGATTTCCCTAGTGCAATACATCACTTGTCTTCTGACTTCCAGTACCAAGGATGTTGATTGTTGATTTAAGCAAGATAAAACCATTAATAATGTCATTCCTTTCTCTGTTTTTTATGATGGTATCTATTGGCCCAGTTGAGAGGATCTTTGTTTCCTTGATGTTGGGATGTAATCTATACTGAAAGGTTTACTTCTTAGTTTTCTGCAGCATTTTAAGTCCTCTTCGCTTTCAGCACATAAGATTTTGCCGTCTACACAACATAGATTGTTGATGAGTCTTCCTCTATCCTGATGCCACGTTCTTCCTCATAGAGTCCAGCTTCATTATTTAGTGAGCATATATATTGAATAGTTAAGTAGAAAGGATACATTACTGAAGCTCACCCCTCCTGATTTTAAACCATGCAGTGTTCCTTTGCTTCATTTTAACAAATGCTGCTTGATCTAGGTGTAGATTTCACATGCGCACAATTAAATGTTCTGGGAATCTAATGCTTCTCAATGTTAGCCATAATTGTGATTCACATAGTCAAATGCCTTTGAAGATAAGCAAGATATAAATGTAGATCATTTTCTGACTTTATAACATATTTCTGAGGTGGTTGTTGTGTACTTTTGAGTCAGAAATGACCCATAGTTAACCCTCCCTTGGCTTTTCAGATGCAGTAAATTGCATGGGAAGAGATGCCTGTCTTTCTCCTGCAGTGAAACTGGAGCTGTTGGTGTATTTGAATGATGTGCCTTCAGGATCACTGCACAGTTTCTTAATACTAGGCCACCAGAGTTCATCCCTATTAAGTGTCTAGCTCTCAGATGCATAGCAAGTGACTAAAAAGACCATGGCCTGAATCAGGCTTACCTTAGTCTTCAAACTGACACCATTGCTCTTAGTATGTTGAAGAGGTCCCGGACAGGTGACTTTCCTACTGCACTACATATCCTGAGCTCCTGACTGCAAGTCCCAAGGGTGTTGATTGTACTTCTGAAGTACAGATGTCGTTTCTGCCTTTGAATTTTTCAATAATGTTCACATAATCCTCTTCTGAAGGATTTTCTCCCTGAGTGGAGCAGATAGTTAAGTTCTAGATTACCAGCCATGGAGTTGGCAGTTCGAATCCACTTAGAGGCACCTTGGAACATCAGCCTGTGCTCTATTTATGAAAGAACACAACTAATAAAAATCAGTCTGTTCTAACTGCAGTGGGTGATCAAATCATTTGAGTTGATATCAGCTATCAGTAACAAAGGCCCTTCTGCCTCCTCCTTTTCCCTAATGCTTACAGACAATGGACATTTTTTGTTTCTTCTTTTTTTAATTGAGATTTTATTGTAAGTTTATAAAGAATTTGGATTTCCATTCATTCATTGTTGCACGTTTTCCTCCATGACCTTTCCCTCCAGTTCGCTTTTAACTTTGGAAAAAAAGTTGTTTCATTGTTATGCAGTCCCCATCCCAAACCACTTTACTATACAGCTCTTATTCTGTACTCCTTTCATCGCAGTAATACCTAATCATATATTCCTTTTATACAGTTCTCTCCTTCATCTGTTTCAACACCATGTACATTACTTATCCCCTCTTTTTTTAGTTACCCCGCAACCCCCCCACCAGTCCTGTTTTATAAAAGTGGCAGTATTTGTCTTTTTTCTGACTGAGATATTTCACTCAGCATAATGTCCTCCAGGGTCACCCATTTTGTATAATATTTCATGAGTTCCTTGTTTTTTCAGTGTGTCATAGTATTCTGTTGTGTGACTATATCAGAGCTTCTCTATCCATTCGTTTGTTGATGGGCAGTTGGGTTGTTTCCATCTCTTTGCTATTATGAACAAAGCTGCAATAAACATGGGTGTGCTTACTAATGGACATTTTTGTTTTATTTTTATTTTTGTCTTTTAGATTTTAGTGAAACTCTGCAGTTTTGTTTCTCCAGCAGAGGAGCTAGCTCAGAAAGATGATCTTCAGCTTTTATTCAGTGCAATAACCTCCTGGTGCCCTCCCTATAATCTGCCTTGGAGGAAGAGTGCCGGTGAAGTCCTTATGACCATCTCCCGTCATGGTCTCAGTGTCAACGTAGTGAAGTATATTCACGGTGTGTATTTTGTTGCAGCTTCATTTAATTGCTCTGAATTCTCCCATTTTTCTTTTCCTCACATGATGACAGATTTATTTTTAAATTCTTAACTGTCCTAAGGTTCTCTTTTAAATATTGAAAAATCTTACTAGGAGAAACCTTTTTTAAGAAAAAAAAAAACAAACAAACAGGGACACATTTCAAATGTAAGACATTCTCTTAGGTTCCAAATCACATGTGTATCTACCAAAATTTAAAATAATTCCACTAATATGTCAGTATTCATTGAGAACATAATGTGAGCTCTTACGTAATATCTCATTCTCCTTACTTATTGATGGGGGGGGGTGTGTAAAAAAAGGAATTTGCCGGCCATGGAGTTGGCAGTTTGAATCCATCCAGGGGCACCTTGGAACGTATGCTCTATTTATGAAAGAAAATGGCTGTGAAAACCTGTAGCATATACCTTACATGTGTGGGGTTGGATGAAAGGCTATTTTTTTGTAGCAGTAAGAAGGAAGGATGAGATGTTATGTTTTTGGAAGACATTTCATAAGAAGCTAGATATTTTGCCCAGTGACAAGGTAGATGGAGTTATGTGGATTCTTGATCAGTATCATTCCGTTTAGCTCAAGTAAAGAAACTAGCTTTTAAAATTTCTAATTAAGAGATAATTATGTTATAATGTGAAGTAGTCTGCTTATTTCATACATACACATTATTGTCTTGTAAATCTTTCAAGATATCTTTGATTCAACTATTTGTTCACTTATAATTATGAAATGATTTATTATGAAAATTCAACACCTCCACAGAATGCAGAAATTATTGAACAATATCATTACTATCACATGCAAACAAGATCCTGCTGAAGATTATCCAAAAACGACTGGAACAGCACATCACCAGAGAACTGCCTGAAGTGCAAGCTGGTTTTAGAAGAGGCCGTGGTACTAGGGATACTATAGCTAATGTCAGATGGATTCCAGAGCTGTGTCTATCTGTGTTTCATTGACTATGCAAAGCCATTTGATTGTGTGGATCACAATCAACTGTGGCTGACTCTGAGAGGAGTGGGAATCCCAGAACAGTTGGTTGCACTTATGTGAAACTTATACTTGAACCAGGAGGCAGTCGTCAGAACAGAGCAAGGAGACACTGCATGGTTCAAAATCAGGAAGGGTGTATGCCAGAGTTGTATTCTGTCTCCATACCTTTTTAGTCAGTATCCAGAACAGATCCTCTGGGAGGCTGGGCTCTGTGAGGAGGAATATGGCATCAAGATTGGAGGTAGATTCATCAATAAGCTGCGTTATGCAGATGACACAATCCTGCTTGCTTAACCTGAGGAGGACCTGAAGTACTTGCTGCAGGAGGTTAAGAACTGCAACCTTCAACATGGATGGAAGAAACATGAAGAAAAAAGCAATTCTCACCACTGGGCCAACTGGCAACATCATTATGAATGGTGAAGAGATTGAGATTGTTAAGTTTTAGTTTTCTTGACTCCGCAGTCAACTCTCTTGGTACCAGCAGCCAAGAAATCAAGAGATGAATTGCATTGGGAAAGTCAGCTGTCAGGGACCTCTCCAGAGTACTGAAGAGCAGTGACGTCAGCCTCGAGACTAAGATGTACCTGATCCAGGCCATAGTCTTTGCATTTGTTTGTTATGCCTCAGAGAGCTGGACAGTGACATGGGATGATAGAAAGAGAATTGATGTCTTTGAGCTGTGGTGCTGGAGAAGAGTGTTGAATATACGATGGACTGCTAGGAGAGCAAGCATTTTCATTTTGGAGAAGGTGAAACCAGGCTTCTCCTTGGAGTCAAGGATTCTGAAGCTCCATATGACATACTTTGGACATGTTACAAAGAGGGACTGGTTCTTGGAGAGAGACATCATGCTTAGAGAGGGTGGAGGGTACAGCCCAGGAGAAGACAATCCTCAATGAAATGGATTGATTCAATGCCTGGGGTAGTGGGGGTAGGTGTGTCAGGTTGACACAGGATAGAACAGGGTTGCAAATGACTTGATGACACATAACAACAGCAATATCTCTGTTATAATATGTTTATTTTCCTATATTCTTTTGATAAATCATTGTTTTTGTTAAATTAGACTCAATTTTATTGAAGTAAAGGAGAAAAAATTTATTTGAAATGATATGAATCTTAAATTTAGTAGTAGAGTAAGATTGTTTTCTAAGCAATCTTAAAAACATGTGGTTCAAAATGGTATTTACTGATTTTTCTATCTCATTTGTTTGCGTGTATTGATTTGAACTAATTAATTATTGAATTTTTCTTCATTAACTTAGAAAATAGCTTTTCTCCTTTTCTCATATCCGCATAAAATGCAGTTTGACAGATTTGACAGTAGCTGTTCATTTTGCATAATGATAAACATCAAACTATAATGTAAAATTATGAATGTCAACTTTTTCAGCTTTTCCTTTGTTATCTTTTATTTCTTTTTTACAGGCAGGCCTTTTCCAGTCACTGTGATATATATTTACTATTAGAATATGCAACATTTATCTATAGTTATAGTACTTTATAGATGAATTAAAATTTAGTGTTTTGCTAAATAGTAGTTAAGAGTGAAGATTTTTTTGTAAGCATTTGTCATAAATAACACATATGCATTTAATGATTTAATCTTACAGAAAAAGAATGTTTATCTACCTGTGTCCAGAATATGCAGCAGTCTGATGACTTGTCTCCCTTAGAGATTGTGGAAATGTTTGCTGGGCTTTCTTGTTTCCTCAAAGATTCCAGTGATGTTTCTCAAACGCTTTTGGATGACTTTCGGATATGGCAAGGATATAACTTCCTATGTGATCTCTTACTTAGGTAAAACCCTAGAATATAATGGTATTTTCTAAATATCTCTTTGGTCTCTTTATTAAATCACAGGAAACAACAGTTTGAGTTTACAGGGGAAAATCATATAAGACATTTATTTAATGTATGCTTGAGTGTCCTCTTAAGTTTAATTGCCTCTCTCTGTTCCTGTTCTGCTAGTGTGCAGAAAATAGGTGCAGGGTTAATATGATGGAGTTAATGTGAGTAAATCAGCTTTAGTGACCAAAGATGAAGTGTGAACACAGCATAAATGCTTCTTTCTTGATTAAGGTTTTGTCTATCTCATAAAATAATAAATACTATAAATTACTTTTAGTGTTTTTATTAACATGGCTATTAATGACTAAATATTCACATTAATCCATGCAAAGTCTTTGTGTATATAAACCAGATTAACAAAAAAACCCTACTGCTGTTGAGTCAATTCTGATTCCTGGGTGACCCTCCGTTGGGTTTCCCAGTATATAAATCTTTATATTTCTTGCTGGATTCAGACTGCTTACTTTCTGATTATTTCCCAACTAAGTAATATGTATACCACTAGTGTTCTTATGGAAAGAAATTAGTAACTCAGAAGATTCCATTTATCCTTTTTTGTTCCTAAAATGTTGGCATGCCGGTAGTGGGAAAATGACTGGTTGAGATTTTATTATAGACAAGATAATCATTGCCCATTAAGCCATTTGATCTCTTATAAAACAACTCTATTTTGTAATCTTTTTATTTTTGGTACTAGATTAACTCAAGTGCTGTAAGTGAATATTTGGCAAACCCCAAATTGAAATGGTTGTGTGTGTGTATTTGTGAAATCTCACTGTCAGTGAGTCAGTTACAACTCACAGCAGCCCTATAGAACAGAGTAGAATTGCCCATCATTCTTGTTGCTGTTAATGTTGTTAGGCACTAAAGAGTCAACTCTGACTCCTAGCCATCCTCTGTACAGCACACTGAAATGCTTCATTATCTTGCATAACTCCACAGTCTCTCCTGTGCTTAAGAACATTATTACAGTAACTGTGTCACCCCGTCCTGTGGAGGGTCTTCCTCTGCTTTGATGACCTTCCACTTTTTCAATTCTGTCTTCCTTTTTCCAAAAACTGGTCCCTTCTGATAACATGCCCAACTATTTGATACACAATCTTAACACTCTTGCCTCTAAAAGGCACACTGGCTTCACTTCTTCCTGTACTGTTGTTGTTGTTGTTATTGTTAAGTACTGTCAAGTCAAAACCAACTCAGAGGTGACCCTTCAGAGGCAGTAAATCACACAAGAGGAGGTTGTCCATCTCCAAGAACTAGTAGAATTTAATTGATGTAATTCTCAGATATTAGAGGTTGAGAAGATAATCAAAAGCTTTAAAGAAATGTTGTTATTCCTTGACAAAATAATTTTCATTCATATTTTAATACTGAAAGTAAAATCATAAGTGTAGATAAAATGTTTTGTTGATTAGTGTTCTTGGGGTTTTATTTACTTCTACTCTACCTACAAGGAGGATCCCTGATGTTACAATGCTTTGTGTGTTGTCCTGCTAACAGAAAGGTGTAGAAATTGAACCTACCAGCCACTCTGAGGGAGGAAGATGAGGCATTTTCCATCTATAAATAAAACCAAATGAAGGGTTGTCATAAACCAGAACCAGCTCAGTGGCAGTCACCAGTCAGTGTTAAAAGCCATTGACCTACAGAAAGCTTGCACTGATCTGAAGAAGTACATATATAGTCTACTTAAGAAGACTTTCAAATTCTGTGATAATATGATATAAAATATGTACATAAACTAAATTTTACACGGTTAAGAAATGTATAACTTAAAAGTGATAAACACTAAAAAGTCTTGAGTTATTAATCTAAGAATATTCTTTATTTTTTAACATTGTTTTTCTTCAAGCTTAATAAAATGAAAATAATTACTTCTATTACCAGGGAAATAACAATAAATCTTATTTCTAAAAGATGCTTCTTACACCCCATTTTATGTTTTCCGTAAAGCCAAAGACAAGAGCTATGTCTATACAGAGTCATAGATATTCTAATAATGTTATAGAAAGATTTAAGGTTACTTCTGAGCTATTTGACCCCTTAAAGTTTATTTACATGTACTTTAAAGAAATTACCTGAAATAATGATAAAATTCTTTTTTAAAAAAACCAGCAAAAATTAAAATTCTTAAAACTCTTCACAGGAAATTATGTTTTAGGATTATTATCAGAAAAATGCCTTAGTAAGATTGTTACTGTTTTTTATGTGCCCTGGAGTTGCACCTGACTCATAGCTTACCCTCCAGCAGGTTTTCAGTGGCTATAAATTGCCTGGTAGGGGATTGCCTACCCTTCTCCCTGGAACAGCAGGTGAATTCGCACCACTTGCCTTCGGGCTGGCAGTGCAGAGCTCCCCTTTGGTGATATTAGTTGTTAAAACTGTGAAGCTTTATAACCTATAAGAAACTCAACGCTCAATACCATCAAGTTGGTTCTCAATCAGAGTGACCCTCCTTTGGGTTTCTGAGGCTGTAAATTAAAATTGACTGCTCATCTTCATCTTGTAGAGCTGCCGGTGGAGGCAAACTGTCAGGTTTGTACAGCCTTAAACAGCACAATTCACTACGTAATCTGAATGATGTATTTATAGAATTTTTTTTGGTACCAAAGAATAATGATTTACAAGAAAAAGCACTGTTAGTAACAAAATCAGTATTTGTTTCTGTTCTTCTGACTGTTGGTATAATTTTCTTTCGGATACAAAATACTGTCTTAAAATCTGTAAACTTTTAATAATACTATGTAATAATACAGGGAAAATTCTAGCATATTCTTTACAGTACTTTATACACTTAAGTACTACCTATAACACTGAAAATATTTCCTGCATAATTTGAGAATTAAAGGAAAGAGAAGTTTATTTGCTAAATCTTGCTTTTCCTAGATTGGAACAAGCAAAAGAAGCTGAATCCAAGGATGCTTTGAAAGATCTGGTTAATCTGATAACTTCTTTAACAACCTATGGTGTCAATGAGATAAAACCAGCTGGTATTACCACAGGGGCACCCTTTTTGTTGCCTGGATTTGCAGTACCCCAGCCTGCAGGCAAAGGTGAGGCATTTTCTTAATTGTGAGCCTTACAGAAGAAAATAAAAAGATTATGTTCTTTTGGCTTTGTTTGCTCTTGATGCTCCTTGTTTAATAGTAATATATTGCTTTTAAAGAAAATTTGTGTTTTTTTATGGTTTGAATCTCCATAATTATTATGTAACAGTACTTAGTCCAGCAGATGAAATACTTGAAACTAATATTATAAAAAACATAAAATTAGATAATGAAATTTATAGTATTTCTTTTAGCATATTCCATGAATTTCTACTTTACATGTATGGAATTTGATAGTCACTCACATCTGTATGTATAAATATATATGGAGAGCACAAACTATAAAAGCATATATTTTATTTAATAACTAAGCCTAAGTGCAAAAAAAGAGTATAATATCTTCTACCAGAATATATATAATTCAGATTTCTTAACATTTGTCTGGATCTATCCAAAGATCTATTGATCTTTTATTAAGAAAATGTATTTAGTTAAGAACATTCAGTTACATAAAAATCTGTTCTGGTTTTACTATTCAGTTTTTAAAAAATGAACAGTAACTATCTCAAGAAAGCTTGATCCTAGACACATAAAATAACCTTCACATGACTGTCACTTAATATGAGTAGTCATACTATTAGCATTTAAAATTTAACTAGCCAAGAAAATACAACATTTCTGGCTATTTCAATTTCATGTTGCATTTAAGATGCTTTTGTGGTAAAGAAATTAACAGTTGTTTTAAATAAAGAAGACGGAATTAATTTGCTAGAAAATCCTAAGGCAAACTTCCTACAGAAAATTTTATTGGAAAAAAAATAGATTAGTTTACTTTGATATAATTTATCATAGTGCAGAAATAATAGAAACTTTTAAATCTAACTGTTAATTAAAACCTTTTAAACTATGCACAGTAGATGTGGTAAATTTTTATATGGTATGTATATTGTTTTAGTTATGCAAAAGTTTATTTAATACCAATTTTTTAAAACTTGTCAACAAAACAGCTTCAAAAATTTCTCATTTATAGTCTCCAGCTTGAGTATTCCATAATTAATCCATTGTATGAGCCAATATAAAATTACTCAGCTGCATGCATACTTTGTATTTCAGACTTTATTGTTCTTTGCTTAATCAGTTTGATCTCTATATTTACTTACTACCTAAGTGCACTAGTACAATTCTGTAGTTGTAGGATCACTGTAACCAAATTAGCCTTCAGGCATTACCTTACACCCTCCTCATCTATACAGGGATATCAAATATATGACTGCAGTAACTGTGAGGATCTGCAGTAACTGTCAAAACAGCTATAAAAGCAAGGTTAACTATAAAGCAGACTGCTGTCAGGTCAAGGGGACCACAAGTAAATCACTTAACTGTTTTGAACATGATTTTTTAATTTTCAAAAAAAATTGATGCCATACGCATAACATTAATGCATAATTGCATTTCTTATGTGATATCAAATTTTATAATGCTAGAATATGTTTTTTAGAATTGTTAAAAGGATCTAAGAATACAGTTGTTCTTAAATTGAAATTTTTATGACACATTAAAGGCTTTTAGTCAGTATTTTATTTCTGATAAATTAAATACCTAGGTCTATATGAAAGGGGAAAAAATAACCTTTTATGAAAATAGCAGATAAATGTTAAAATGCATGATGTGGTTAAATAGACCAGTGTTCGCCTTGATTAAAATAGCACATAGCACCTACTTTTGCATTCTTGTTTTCTCTTTTAGGTCACAGTGTGAGAAACATCCAGGCCTTTGCAGTTCTTCAGAATGCATTTTTAAAAGCAAAAACTCACTTCCTTGCCCAGATCATCCTTGATGCCATCACAAATATTTACATGGCTGACAGTGCCAATTATTTCATCTTGGAGTCACAACACACACTGTCGCAATTTGCAGAGAAGATTTCTAAACTCCCAGAAGTACAAAACAAATATTTTGAGATGCTGGAGTTCGTTGTTTTTAGCTTAAATTATATCCCTTGTAAAGAACTTATAAGTGTTAGCATCCTCTTAAAATCTAGCTCTTCATACCACTGTAGCATTATTGCAATGAGAACTCTTCTTAAGTTTACACGACATGACTACATTTTTAAAGATGTGTTCAGGGAGGTGGGCCTTCTGGAGGTCATGGTCAACCTTCTGCATAAATACGCAGCTCTCCTGAAGGATCCAACTCAGGCACTCAGTGAACCAGGTAAAACAGTTTTATAATGCCCTCTTTATTTGACAAAAAGGTCAGTGAAAGAGTTGATTTTTCTCTCTCTTTTGCTTCATTATTGCTGTGAATGACTTACTGATTTGCATTATGTGACTTCCTTGTGAATGTATTAGTAAGTGACATCCCATTGCTAACTATTCATTTACCCTCAGGGAATTGAGGAAGGGAAACCTAGAGACAGGTCATTGTGGTAGAAGAAACTTCTCACATAAGGTCAAAACTGAGAAGAAACATTTGTGGTCCACATGTTTAGTGTCAAATACCTCTTCCTTCTAAAATAAAATTATTTTAAAATCTGGAAATAATTGGAATGTGATAGTAGTGTGTTTTACATGTACCATGTAACCCATATCCTATGCTCCAGCAGGCTTTCAGAGGCAGTTAATTGCATGCAAGGAGATTGCCCGTATTTTTCTCATGGAGCAGCTGATGAATTTGAACTGTGTATCTTTGGGTTGATAGCACAATTCTTTACCCCTGTGCCACCAGAGCTCCTGTTAGCATACAAAGCAAATAAAATCTCTTTAGATAGATTTTGATTTTACACACACATCCATGCCCCATAACTAATAAAATCCATTGCCATTGAGTTGACTCCAACTCATGATGATTTTAGCAGCATTTTGAAGCTATAAATCTTAACAGGCACAGACTGTCTCCTCCTCCACCCCACCCCCTGCCCCAGTGTAGCAGCTTATAAATATAAACTGCCAGCCTACCAGGTAGCAGCCTAACATATTACCCACTATTAGAGTTCCTTCACATTATCATTAAAAACAGAAGAACCGGCTTTCGGCTGGATGCTGCTGTGTCAGCACACGGGAGCCCGGGTTTGAACTCGAAATAAACTTTGTTAATTCGGAAAGAAAAAAAAAAACAAACCAGAAGAACCAAACCCACTGCTTGTGAGTGGATTATTAATCATGACTTCCCTCCTTTGAGTTGCAAGAACTGTAAATCTTACTCAGAGGTAACTCTCGACTTTTTCTCCCATGGAACTGCTGGTGGATTTAAATGACAATTTTTTTTTTCAGTTAGTGGACAAAACCTACAATGTACTACTAGGCTGCTGAATTTGAAGCATTCTGTCTTTACTTTAAATTTGAGACTTTTCATCTTTTCTGCTAAAGATGATAAAAACTGATTGCTACCCAGCAATTTGTAGTAAATGTGTTGAAAGAGTTACTAGAATTTGAGTATGTCCCCAATATTTGTTAGATAATATTCTAGCTACCCCAAAGTAAAATCTGTAAACCTGAATTATGAGTCTATTTTAGGCAGCTTTAAAGTCATGGTCATACGAATAATTCTTATTTATTAGGTTTTATTATGTGGGTTGCACTAATAATGAAATTTAACATTAAAGAAATACTGAAAGTGCTTGTAAGAATGGCATCGGGGAAAAAAAAATAAGACTCTCTCTGATTTGGACCTTTCAACCTTTTTCTTAAGGGGACTCAAGAAATAATAGTTCGGTTGAAGACCAAAAGCACCTGGCTTTGTTGGTTATGGAGACCTTAACAGTACTTCTTCAAGGGTCAAACACAAATGCAGGTAATTAGAAAAGCTTCCACCGTATGCTTTGGAGAAAGCAGTCACTTCTTATTATGCTCTCTCTACCCATTGTTGCTTCTGACCTGTTCCTGTCACTTAGAGAAAAAGCTGTAATAGTACTTTCAAGCCTTATTTTTTTTTTCTATAATTATATTTTATTAATTTTCATAAACATTTACAGAGATTTTGGGTTTCCATTCATTCATTGTTGCACTATTCTCTCTACTCTCCTCCCAGTTTGTTCTTGTCCAAATGCCACAGTGTTTGTCAAAGCCAGTTCTGATTAATCTTCTTTGTCAGTGTGTCCTTTGCCATTCCCTATCACTCCTCCCTGAGAGAGACTTCACCCTGAGTCATAAGGAAAAGGGGATGGCGTATTCTCTTAGCTACTTCCTGCTGACAAGGGACGCTGTGGGTTTCAGGGTGAAGATCCTCTCTCACTACTCTAAAGGGCCCCTTTGGCAATAGGAAGCACATAGACTATTATGGAGATTGATTTTGGAATTTAGATGCACTCTTATTGATTGTGCTTGGCCGTACATGTTCATATCCTTGAAGATGTATCATGGGGGTGTTGCAACCTAGAAGACACAAATTTGACTAACAAGTTATAAGTACATGAGTCCAAAAATTATGGAAAAGTAAAAGAAAAGATTCTTTCATTGTGTTACAAACGCTCCCCCAGGTCCCCTCCACCATGTAGCCCTCGCTCTAGTCTCCTGTGATGACAGAAATACCTAGTTATATATCTCTTTTAAACAGTTCTCTCCCTCCTCTGTTTCAGTGCAGTATACATTATTGAACCCATCTTACTCAGTCTCTCCCCAACCCCAAGGACAGTCCCATTCTACAACAGTGGCATCATGTAATATTTGTCCTTTTGTGACTGGGATATTTCACTCAGCATAATGTTCTCCAGAGTCAACCATTTTGAATAATATTGCATGAGTTCCTTGTTTTTTAATGCAGCATAGTATTCCATTGTGCGAATATACCACAGCTTCTCTAGCCATTCGTTTGTTGATGGGCACTTTCAAGCCTTTATAAACGCAGTCAGTACTTGTAACTTTAAAATACAGTAAAAATTTTTAATTATTAAGATATTATATAATACTGCTATTATTCCAAATATGCACTTATATTTTATTGCTTTTTGAAATGTGATTTGTTACATCCTTTTTTAAATTTTTATCTTTTAGTGCATATTTACTTACAGATTTTGCTAACTTAAATATTTTCCAAAATACCTGCTTCTTATGGCAATTGTCTTATTTTTTAAAAATTTCATGTTGAAGTATTACAATATTATAACTTTACAAAGCTACTAAATAATGGTTCTGTGCTATAAGTTACCTTTACCATTTTGATGAAATGTTTTGCTTTTCTTTGGTCTCAGAATTTCTGCAACCTATTTATCATTAATAGTCTAACTTTATTTTAAAAATAGACTTCTTGCTTTAAAAAAAAAAGATCAGTTACGATTTAAAAGTTTGTTGTTGGATGTTGTGATGTACCATCGATTCAGAACCAACCCGTAGCTGACCCTCCATCGGGTTTTCAGCGGCAGTTAATCACATTGGAGGAAATTGCCCATCTTTCTTCTGTGAATTCAAACTGCATGCCTTCAGGATTGCAGCACAGCTTTTGCCCAGTAGGCCACCAGAGCTCCCTTAGTTTCAAAATATATCATGCCAAAAAAGCCGGTAAAATTTGAGAAACATAATTGCAAAGATGAGTTTAGATGAATAAATGTATGTAGATCAAGTAGAATTTTACAAATCCTAGTGAGAGACTTGTATTTTATTTAAGTGTCATGGAAAGGCTTAAGAGAATGAAGGAATGTAAAGATCAAACACTGAGAAAGTCTATATTCAGTATATTTCTTGTTGTAGCTGTTGTTATGTGCTACCAAGTCTAGTAGGACTTATGACAATCCTATGAACAACGTCCTATCCCGTGCCATATTCACAATGTCTGACACACTCAAGCCCATTGCTGTAGTCATCGTGCTTTTTAGCATACTTAAAATATATTAAATAAAATGTGTGTGTGCGCATGGGTGTACACCTGGCTTTATGCTTGGTGTTAGAGATGCAAGGATAAGACATTTCTTGCCACAAAGGAATTATAGTCTTTTGGAGAAAGATATAAACACATATATAAAAATGAAACAAAATTACTCTACTGTTGTCAAGTTAAATCTGATTCTTAATAGCACAGTTGTACAGAGAAAACTGTCCTATAGAGTTTCCAAGGCTGCAAATCTTTAGGGGAGCAGACTGCCTCATCATTCTCCCTTGGAATGGCTGATGAGTTTGAACCACTAACCTATTAGTTAGTAGCCCAGTACTTTCATTAAAATCACAAAATAAAATTTTATTTAAAGGAAAAAAGCTCAGTACTTAGCCTACAACTTACTGAGCCCTGGTAGCTCCTATAGGGAGCTATCTAAGTTGGGTTTAATTAACTAAAAGGTTCAAGCTTCTAAATTGGGCTTAACTAAAAGGTCAGCAGTTGGAATCCACCTACTGCTTTGCAGGAGCAAAAAGCATAGTCTACTCCATAAACCAAATGGAGAGTGCTATGAGTTGGAGTTGACTGAGTGACAATAGGTAACATCCAAGAATTACTTGAGTACATCTCTGGCAGCTAGCAAGATAGAGTTGAATTAATTCAGTAGGTAATTGAAACAGTTTTGTGATGTTTAATATTAAATTTTTCAATGCACAATTTCATTTTCACTAACCAACTTTGGTTGACTGAGATGCTCAAAAGCTTAAGAAGGCTAAACTTAGCTATAGGTGCTTTGGATGGCATGGCCTAGAACTGCACAAGGAATTAGACAATTCTGCTACTACAGGAGTGGAGAACTTATTTTGTGTTTCTAAAAATCACCTGATGCATATCTCCCAAAACGCCAAACTTGGTTGCACAAAGTTCTTTTCTCAGCTACTGTATTTTCTTTGTTAGAGAAATTCTTACTCTTGGGGACTTAGAGAATTATTTTATTCATAGAAAGTATTGAAGACATGTTAACCATTATGATTACTTGATTAACCCTAATTGACAGTGAGGAAGCGAGTGGACATGACTTGCAGGAGCCAAGAGATGTCAAAATCCATGTGGTAAAATTCAGAAAACAGGATTTCCATTTTCTTCAAGGTCATGTAGTTCTTATAAAGTTAGCAAATAGAAAGCCACATAAGTAGAAGAAGAACAGTGGCTGCTACAGCAAAACAGAATCACAATAACTCAGTGGTCATAAAATTCAAACCAAAATCAGTTATCATCAAATCATTCCCAACAAGGAAGGAATTCAAGTTAATTGGAGATCAAATAAACAAAACCATTTGATAAAAACGAAAATGAAAGTGTATACAAAAGCAAGTTTTTTAAAGAGTACAAATGATAAAACAATTACTTTTAAGCATATATATATATGCTAATTAGTTATTTAAAATCATCTGTTACTAGAGATTTTCTTTGAGCAGAGTATTTGATAAGAAGGTAGTTTAACTAATTGTGGACAAGAGCATAGCTCTGTTGTACTTGTTAGCTGTGTGACCTTGGTGAAATTACTCAGTTATTGTGTCTCCTCCACTGTACCATGGTAGGTGATGAGGATCAAATAAATCAAGATTTACAGTCAACACTCTTGGCACCAGCAGCCAGGAAATTAAAAGATGTATTGTGATGGGAAAGTCTGCTGTTAGGGACCTCTCCAAAGTACTGAAGAGCAATGGTGTCTCTCTGGAGACTATGGTGCACCTGATACAGGCCATAGTCTTTGCAGTAAGTTGTTATGCGTCAGAGTTGGACAATGACTAGGGAGAATAGAAGGAGAATTGATGCCTTTGAGCTATGGTGCTGAAGAAGGGTATTGAAAGTACCATGGACTGCTAAGAAAACAAACAGATTCATCCTGGAGAGGGTTAAACCAGGCTGCTCCTTGGAGGCAAGGATTCTGAGACTTCGTCTGACATATTTTGGACATGTTTCAAGGAGGAACCTTGGAAAGGAACATCATGCGTGGGAGGATGGAGGGACAGTGCAGAAGGGGAAGGCCCTCTATAAGGTGGATAGAGTTAGTGACTGGGGTAATCGGGGTGGGTGTGTCAGAGACAGTGCGATTGGCACAGGGCAGAGCAGGGTTTAGGACTGTTGTACATAGGGTCGCTATGAGTCACAAGCGACTTGACGGCACATACCAACACTGTGGGACTTTGAAGCAGTACCATGACTGATGCTTTCTATTAGTTTGTCTTTCATTGCTCATGTTCTCTACTTATCTAATAAAGATTTAATTCCTTGAGATTTTTCCCTTGATAATATATTTCATTCACTTTTACTCCTATTTTGGGAAACATGTGCAGTTTAAACCTCATTTCTTTTGGTTTTTGTTCATCTGAAAGCCTTTGACATAAATTAACTTCAGTATTTTTCAGCTTAAAACTTCTGCATAAAGTCTTAGGTCTCCTAGTGTCTACTTAATGACATTTCTAAATGATCTAAATTTAGAGAATTTAGACATGATGAGCGTATCAGCGCATTATGTTCTTGCATTATGAATATGCTGACTTCCTGCTGTGCAATCGTGTATTGTCATTTTAAAAGGTAAAATAGCTGGTGAGGTTTAATTTTTTTTAGTTTGAACCACTCTACTTATAAAAAAGAGTACGATTTTAATTCCTCAAATTTGCCTCAGTTAGCCCATGTGGTTTTTTGCTCTCCTTCCAGGAATTTTCCGAGAGTTTGGAGGGGCAAGATGTGCACATAACATAGTGAAGTACCCTCAGTGCCGGCAGCACGCACTGATGATCATCCAGCAGTTGGTGCTCTCTCCAAACGGTGACGATGACATGGGCACGCTCCTAGGGCTAATGCATTCAGCACCACCAACAGAATTACAGCTAAAGACTGACATTTTAAGGGTAAGCCTGATAAGTGTGTGTTTACTCTTTCACTGCTACAATCTGTGCACATTTTGTATACAGTCGTAAAGATCCTGTGTGAAAAACAGTGTTTACAAACTTTATAAATAAACCAGTATTAAAAAAACCCAACCAAAAAAGTGACCAAGCTAGTCCACTATTAGGAATTTACCCCAAAGAAATTAAAACTGATACAAAGATTTGTGGTTCATAGCAGTGTTACTCACCATCGCAAGAACATGGAAACAGCCCACATGTCCAACCAAAACCAAATGGATTAAGAAGTTATGGTAAGTTCACGCAATGGGATACTATGCAGCACACAGGAGCAACAATTTTGAAAAATACTAGATAACTTGGGAGAGGCTGGAGGGCATTATTCTGAGTGAACTAAATGCAGTCTCAAAAGAACAAATACTGCATAAGACCATTATTGTAAAAACAGAAGAATAGTAAATGCAGTAAAACATGCATGGGTACCCAAGGGTGTAAGGGGTAGGAGAGGAAGGGTGAGTATGGGTAGCGGCAAGACCACAGGGTTGCACAGCTTGGTAGGTGGAGGGGATAGAGAAGGATCCGGGTGAAAAGACAGGGTAATGATGGGCAAAGTCCAATGGTGATTAATTTTATAAAATATAATGCATGAGAATGATTCTGTGAAACACATCATGAATGTAGAATAGTGTGGAACACATTGTATATGAAACTTGTAACCAAACCAATTAAAAAAGAAGAAAAAAGAAAAAATCATACAGCATGATCAAGTGGGATTGCTATCCCGTACGTAAGGGTGGTTCAACATTAGAAAAGCATCCTCTTCGTAACAAAGGAAAAGGTTCCTGTGATCATAGCAGTCAAAGCAGAAAAAGCAAACTGTACACTCTTTCATGATAAAATGTTTTCAGTAAAATAGGATAGAAAGGAAAGCCCTCAAAATAACAAGAATATATTTACAAAACCAATAGCTAACAATAATCAAATTAAGAGAGATTGAAGGCATTCTTCTTAGGAACAGAAGCCAGACATGGTGGCCCTCTAATCACTCCTTACTCAGTATTGGAAGTCCTGACAAGAGCAATAAGTCAAAAAAGGGAAATAAAAAGTACCCAGAATTGGCAAAGCAGAAGACGTAAAACTGTATTTGTTTGCAGAAGATATGATCCCATATATAGAAGATTCCTCAGACTAAGCAAGGAAATTAATGTGTCTCATTAAGTGATTCAACAAGGACAGGATACATCATCACCATACAAAACTCAATTAGCTTCTGCCATATGAAAAAATAAAAAAATGAGGAAAACAATAGCCCATTTTGCAAATTTCAGTAGCTACTCAAAGGATTAAATGCTTAGGAATAAACCTAACCAATAGTAAAACAAAAAAGACCTCTCTGTAGAAAACTATAAAACCCTACTATAAGAAACCAAGAGAGATGTACATAAATAGAAGAATTTACCATGCTCATAGGCAGGATAAATGTAACATGGTGAAAGTGTCAATGTGACTAAAACTGATCTGCAGATATAATTTAATCCTCATTCAGATTCCATTAGCATTCTTCAAAGAGATGGGAAAAAGTAATTATCAACCATATGTAGAAAGCAAAGAGACATAAGCAGAGTATATTGCTTTGCTTATTGAAGAAGAAACGGATTAGGAGTCCTTATGCTTCTTGATCTCAAACCTGCTACACAGCCACTGTAATCAAAATAGCTTGATACTGGTGATAGCATGCTAGATGCATAGACAATGTAATATAATTAAGGACTCAAATTCGTTTGCTTGTAGAAAGCTTCAAGTCTGACAAAAAAGATAAAAATCCATTAAATAGTGAAAAACAACCTCTAACAAATGGTGTTGAAAAAACTAGATTCTATTTACAGAAAATGGAATTAAAGTTTTTAATCTCACATATACATAAATTCACTCAGGATGGATCAAGGATTTAAGCATAACATCTATAACTATTGTGATTATCAAGTAAAAAATAAGGCAAATTTTTATGTATGGCATAAATAACTATTCATCTCCCTAACCATTCTTCTTGGCTGTTTGTTGCTGTCAAGTCAACATAGCTGAACTTGAAGCAGATTTTTAGATGCTGTGAATCACACTGGGGTAGATTGCAAATCTGTCTCCCTTGGATAAACTTGTGAATTTGAATTTACTGTCTTTGGTTTGAGACTACAACTCCCTAAATGCTAGATAACCAGAGCTCACGGACTATTGTTACTATATTGAACCCAACTAACTCATTTTTTATCTCCAAGGGATTTCCAGAGCCTGTAAATCATGCTGGAAGAGATTGCCCATCATTTTGGAGCAGCTGGTAGATTTGAACTGTGTTCCTGTAGTTTGGCAGTTCATCTGTTTGTCCCTAGGCCAGCAAAGCTTCCTTCATTAGCTATTAGAGAGATGCAAGTAAAAAAAAAAAAGAGATCTCTATGGCTTAAAAGAACAAGATGATAATAGGCATAGATCAATAGTAATTTATTATGTAAAAGATAGATATATGTATATTTATATATATGAAACAGTGTATATCAATGGTTGTATACAAACTGATATAAATTTGGAAAAAGAAAAAAAACAACAACTAACAATCATCTCCAGCAATAGTCAAATTCAATAGAATAGTAAAAAACAAATAGTGATGAGGGTGTGGTAAGAGTGGAACTGTCTTATACTACTGGTAATCATATAAAATGGTTCATCCACTATCAGTCTGGTCTTAAAAAGTTGAAAATGAAATACCATTTGATCTAGCAGTACCACTGCTAGGCACATATCCTAAAAAAACAAGTACTAATAAATGTACACCCATATTTGTTGCAGTATTATTTATAATAGCAATGGAATGGAAACAACCCAAGTGTCTATCAGCAGAAAATGTTTAATGAAACTGTGTAAATCAACCATAAAGAAGTGGTTAACACATCTCTCTATGGTGTGAAACCTTGTATTCTACAGTGGAACACTATGCAACACTAAAAAAATATAAAGAATTTGTGAAATGGCATAAAATATGGAGGAAGCTAGGAGACATTATGCTGACTGAAATAAGTCAATTACCTACGTGCAAAATACTATTAATAATACCACTGTTTTTAAAAAGTAGGGAACTCTGATTGTCTTGTAGGTAAGGACTTGAGTTGCCAATCCAGAGGCAGTACGAATGTGCAAGAGAAATAGGACAGTCTCTTTTCGCTGCAATTTACAACCTTTGAAAATGCACTGGAGGGTCCGATTTGAGTTGGTTCTAACTTAAAGACACAAAACAATTAGAAAAAGCTTAAGAAACATTTATACACAGAGTCATCCTTAGATACTTACCAAGGATATAAGAAGGTAGGGAAAGCTAAGTAAAAATTAATACATAGATAATACACAGTAAAATTAAAAATGTTTAATTGGACAGAGAAATTAAAATCCAGTTAACTAATAAAACACAAATAGTATACAGTAAGCTTTTCAGAGAACCCAGTGTATATTAAGTTACTGCTCTTAAGAAGCTACAATAATTATCTATAAAAGTATATTTGTGAAGTTTAGCACACACAACTGGAGACTGGGTTTTCACCTCTTGTCTTCATAACTCAGCATCAGGAACCCCATAGACTCACAAAATACAGGTTCTAAGATCATCATTTTAGCTGCTTGGTCAGGTAACACCCTTCTCCCAAAATTCCTTCAGATTCATTAATAATCAGCCTTTCAAGACAAGACATTCAGTCCCAGGCCTGCATCGGACCCTCAGGCCAAATAAAGAACTCCAGCATACCAGATCTAGAGGAGAGGAGACCTACCCTCACGTTTGAAATTATCTCACTGTGACAGGAATGTGGTGCATAAAAACAGATCAGAGACATTAAGTCACAAAATGGCAGCCCTGCAGTAGAAGCTCAGGGGCTAGGACCTTTCCCCAGGATGACTACTGTTGTTGTTAAGGACCATCGAGTCACAGGCAACTTGAAGTGACCCTATGAAGGAGAGTCCTCGACGCTTGGTTGCCTTTGATCTTCTCTCCAGGTTCATAGGGTTTCCGGAGGCAAGCTATTATGGAAGTGGATGCCACTCCTCTTTCCAAGCTTGTTTTAATTGGGGAGCTCCACCCCACTCTCTGTCCACGTTGGGTAACCAGCCATTAACGCATTTGACACATCAGTGTCACAGTGTTCAGCCTCACAACAACCACAAGTTACCGCTGTATGGCAACTTGTACACCAGGGCTATAAGACCTAGAGGAATGTCTGAACAAAAGCAATGAAAGGCAGGCCTGAGGGCCGCGGATTAAAAGGCACCCACCTTGGGCTTGGTATCATCACTTTCTGTTCACTGGGCCAGCTGATCTCTCTCTCTGTTGATGTTATTGTTGTTAAGTGCCATCGAGTCGCAGGCAACTCATAGCAAACCTATGAAGGAGAGTCCTCGACGCTTGGGTGCCTTTCATCCTCTCTCCAGGTTCATAGGTTTTCCAGAGGCAAGCTATTACGGAAGTGGATGCCACTCCTCCGTCCAAGCTTGTTTTAAACCCAGGACGACTACTTCAGGTAAAAATCTTGTCCTGAAGCTGATACATGGGATTTGGACTTACCTCCTCCTAAACATGAAACAGGCATCATTGTGAGAGACTAGTAGCAGTGCATGATTCAAAACAACATCGAAGTTGCTTGTGGCCTAAGCCATCATATCAAGGGATGGCTAGGAGAGGGAAGTGTTGGACATGCTACGCAAAAGTGCAAGGAATGCAGATGTAGCAGGGAATGGGAAAGAACAAAGCAAGTGCCTGGGTGGAGTAGGGGGACAGTGATTGTATAGGTTATTTCTGTAAGGGAAGTGTTTTTCAACTGCTCCTTTTTATTAAAATACTTGTCTGTCATATATTGTTCTAAAACAAAGCACCCAAATTAAGACAGACTAAGAAGGATTGGCCATCTACTTCCGAAATAAATCAGGCCTTTGAAAACGCTGTGTACAGCACACACCTAGAGTAGACTAAC